TAATCTCTACCAATTTCATTAATAATAATACAATATGTACATAAGGTCAGAAAATTCAGTTTTCATAAAACCATGAAAGGAAAAGGCTCCCTTGCCCTCTGCATTTCCCTCCCCCAGGATTGCTCTAGAAAGATAATTAATCTAACAGTTCCTGGGTTTCTTACCTCTATTTAAAGTTTATGTCATGCCAACACTCGTGAACACGTATTGTTGATATTTTTTTAAATACTGCAGTTTACCAACTTTACTACTTATCTTCGTATCAGTGATGCCTGCTTCTTTTTCAACATCATACATTCCATAACGTGGACACTGATTTCCCACCCGACCCCCGTAGTAAAGAATACATGAATGTTTATCAAGCTGATTTCTCTAAGCAGTGCTACCATGAGCAACCATCTAAATCAATCCTGTAGCTCTTTCGTAAGTGTGGCTTCATAGCACTTCTAAGCAATGAATTTGCCAAATCGATATTTGCATTTTTACTGATCAAAAGCTTTGAAAAGTTCTTGGTACAGAGTATGCATTCAATGAAACTAAAATGGTCAAATTTTCTATCAGAAATTTTAAATTGATCTAACACACACACACACACACACACGCACCCTGAGTGACTGAATGAGTGAAAATTCATTTGAGACAGGGTTTCACTCTGTAGCTTAGACTGGCCTGGAACTCACTACGTAGACCAAGCTAGCCTCAAACTCATGGTGATCCTTCTGTTTCACCTCCAAATACTAGGATTATAGGCAGGAGCCAACAGGCCTGACCGGGACACATATGAAAGTCTTTTAAAATCACCATAGGGGATTGAATAGTGACACCCCCCCCCAAAAAAAATATATGCCCATGTCTTAACTCCTAGAACCTGTGACCAGGATCTCACTCGGAAACAGTATTTCAGATGAAGTCATCCTGGTTATCCAAACAGACCCTACACCCAAAGACTAGTACCTTATTAGAGTGAAGTGGAAAAGACCAAAGAAAAATTGAACCAAGAACAATGACAAAAGCATCATAGAAGAAAATTTGACAGAAACATAAATGAAAAGGTTCTGGGTGGCTGTAGACAGACATTAGAGAGGTGTGCCTCAAGTCCAAGGATACTGAGCTAGGAGAGGTTGTAAGAGGCAGGACTACTTTGTCCCCAGAGCCTCACCTGTTCACACCTTCGCGTTAGCATCTTAGCTCCCAGAGCAGTGTAGGCTGGAAGTCTGTTCTTTTAAGTCACTCAGTTTGTGGTAACTTGCAATGGCAACCTCAGCAAACTGATATAACCGTTGTTGTTAAATTGGACGTATCACTCCAAGAGGAATGAGAACGTAGTTTGGAGGTTAAGCTGCTAGGGGCACAGACAAAGCTTCAATTTCAGAGGCTGGTCCCTGAAAGACTTCCCTCCCAACATCTCCCCCAGACTGTTTCCATTCCAGGCATTTACTCTTGGCAGGTTTGCAACTGGAATCCCAAACTGCCAGACAAGTTGAAACAAGCCTGTGTTTGTGTTGAAAACAAACACCAAATGACCAATTTTATTGTTTTGTTTTGCTTTGGCTCAAGCAGATCCAATACAAATTGATCTGCTCCAGACTTTGAAAAGAAAGTTTGTAAGTGCTTGCGTTTTCGCCTAAAAGCCCAGGTGGCAGCAGTTGGAGACTCACACATCTATATCCATCAATTCCTAATTGAACCAGAGAGAGAGTGGAGAGCACTTTCCCAGACAATCTGTGATCTCTCCCCTGGTAGGGAATGATCATGCCATCTGGAAATGGGCAGGACGGACCTTTCACAGACGTTGCAGCTCTAGTTACCAGTCAATTCTAACTTAGATCGGCCCAGAGCAACACCTTCTGTGTTCCTGTGCCTCAAGATTGCAGGTTGGAAAGCCCTGCCACATGAAGACTTGTGGCTGCTTCTCATGATTCAACTAGGAGACAGAATAAGGTAGTGAGGACTGGAGGTGTGGGTCAGGTGGTCAGTGTTTGCCACACAAATATGAGGATGTGAGTTCAGTCTCCAGCATCCATGTAGAAAGCTGGGCACAGTGGAGCACCCCTAGAAACCCAGCCCTACAGAGAGGGAGGCAAGAGAATCCAGTCCAGCCAAGTCAGTGAGCACCAGATGCCTGCTTGTTTTCAGGTGCTTGCTCTTGGGAGGTGGGTCTCCCTGGACTGTGAATCTGTGCAAAGGTATAGCAGGAATGAGGCCAGACCCCGGGAAGGTTCATGAAGCAGGTTTTATTTAAGGCAGCAGCCTGGTCCAGAGGACTTAAGTCTCAAAGTCTGGACCCCAAAGGGAAAGTTCTAACATTTTTATACCTTGGTCAGTGAGTTACAGCAGTTGCAGTTTGATTGGTTAACAGCAAAAAGTTATAAAAAGCAAGCAATTTATCTAATTCTTTTTTATTGAAATAAATAATTTATTGAGAATTTCATACATACATATAAGGTGTTTTGATCAAATCCGTGCTCACTCCCTCCCCTCCAACTCCTCCCATAACTCCCCAACACCTTTTTCTGATAACTTCATGTACTCTCTCTTCTTCTTTGATTGATTTATTTTTTTAATGGGGCTTTTGGCTACTCTAACATTCTGCCCTCTGAAGAGGTAACCCTAAAATCTTTTAAGGATTAGATAAAAGCTCCCAAATATTTTCGACACTTCTGGCCTTTGTAACACAGTATGTTGCTAAGAGGCCCAGGGACATTGAGTTTTAGACAAGAAACTGGCTACTTTTCTTTTGGGTCTTC